TCTATTCTTTATAGTCCAGCCATGAGGAAAAGGCTACCTCAGAGTCACCAACCAGGCCATCCTTATTATATCCATGCTTCTCTGGTTCGGTTTCCATACTCTTGAGCATGTCAGCCGCCAATGAGTGTGCAAAAGAATAAGAAAAAGACAAAGAAAAAGAAAAAGGAAAAAATGTGCAAAAGAAAGAAAAGAAAAAAAATGTGCAAAAGAAGAAAAAAAAAAGGGATTCATTGATTGAGAGGGAGCCTCCGTTTTTACTCACCAAATACCCCTTGATTCCTAGTGGTTTGACTTTCCTTTGTTGTGCTTAGATTCTCTTGTCGGAGGTCCAACTTTCAGATCACTACTAGGATTGAATCTAGTGTTTGTCGAACTCCAAGAGTCACACACACACTTTTCTTATGGGATCTATGCTTTTCACATAATGCATCACTTTCTTTTATGAAAAATCTTCTAGAGGCTGTGCACATTGTGTTTTCAAGTAATTGTGCTTCTTGGATAGTCTTGTGTGTTTTAAGGTACTAATCTGAAATTCCTTGCTTGCTTTACAATATTATTTTTGCTGTTTTCTTCCTGTTCACTGTTTTCAATGTTTGTGGTTGTTTTTCGTAAGGGGGAGTTATTTTGTCGGGTGCATGTGTCTTAGGTTTTCATGCTTTTCATCTCATGCTTTAAAATAATCTTGTCATATGTTTATTGCTTTTTCATATACTCTTGTGGCACTTATAGTTGTTTTGGAGATTATGGCACTAATAGCTGTTTTGCAGATCTTAATCATGAGAAAGAAGTTTGTGTAAAGTTTATGTTTATTGGCAGTAATGGGTTGAGGTAATTAGGATTTATTTGTTAGATGTGTTTTGTCACGACATTGCCAAAGGGGGAGATTGTTAGGTTTTTTCTTGGCAATCTCGTTTGAACAAAACTCCTTTCAGATGTACTTATTTTTGCACTTTTTTATTTCAGTGAGGCTATGAGTGTTTAGATGCGAATCCAACCCGAATTGTGCTTTGCAGAGAAGTTTTTGATGTTAATGCTTTCAAGATTGCCACTTCGCTGAGTTTTGTCACGACATTGCCAAAGGGGGAGATTGTTAGGTTTTTTCTTGGCAATCCCGTTTGAACAAAACTCCTTTCAGATGTACTTATTTTTGCACTTTTTTATTTCAGTGAGGCTATGAGTGTTTAGATGCGAATCCAACCCGAATTGTGCCTTGTAGAGAAGTTTTTGATGTTAATGCTTTCAAGATTGCCACTTCGCTGATTATGACGGGTATCGAGATGCCCGGTCAGCTCGCGGGGGTCTAGGGGGCAGCGCCCCTTGGCGGGTTCACGGCAGCGCCACGGCGGGGTCGAGGTGCAGCGCCCCCAAAGCAAAATGCAATTTGGCATTCGAAGTTGTATGTCCGCCCTTGCTCACTCGAGCGAAGGAGTTCTCGCTCGAGCGAAGGCTGGGTCCGTATAAAAACCTGAAAGAGATGATTTCACGCTCGAGCGCAGGTTGTTTGGCTCGAGCGAAGCCTGTTTCTGTCAGATTTTAGGATTACTTCTCCAGATCTTCTTCTTGGGTTCTAGGGTTTATATTTGGGGATATTTTGCTAGTTTTCTTTGATGTTTTGATTAAGTATTCAACTCATCGTTTAAAGAGTACACATCAAAGGATTATTTGTTTGTTCTACACAAAAGAGAGAGTTGTTCTTTGGTGGATTCTGAAGAATTCGAGCCTAAAGCTTTGGTGGATTCTGGAGTGACTCATCGTCAAGACAATTCCGAGGTGAAGACGGGGTTGGAAGAGGCACATAGGGGTTGGTTCAATTCGGGCGTGGATTCGCTAGGTAATTGAGAGTATATATGTGTAATTCCTTTATGTCTTTTTAGTGGATTGTTTTGTGGCTTTTGCCGTAGTTTTTTTATCACAACTAGAGGTGTCCAATTGTGATTTTTTCACATAAAATCGTTATGTCGATTTGTCTTGATTGTTTGATTGGGATTGTTATATACTGCTTAAAATTGGTATATAATCACAAATCAACATCTAGGGGATTTCTAGATTTTTCAGAAAGGTTTGGGCGTAAGGAGAAAAGTGCATGGTAGAGATGAGGGTAGGAATGGAATTGCAAAGATTGTACAAAATTAAAATTAAAATAAATAAATAAAAATTTAGGATGTAAGAAGGTAGTTTTGTGGTATAAATAGAATTTCCCTTACATCAAAGCGAAACGCAGATTGTGAATGACTAAGGAGATGAATTAGGATTTTATAGAAATTGGAATCAATGAACTCTGTTGTTTTCACAGTAACACAGTTTTACGTTTATTCCTGTTCCTTTCTCATTGATCTCTCTACTACCTTTTTTAATTTCAAAAGTTTTGTTTTCTTGCCCATTCGTCCAAATTTTCGGCATATATATGTTGTGTTATATAACTCTTACACATTTATTACGTGGGAAAAGTGTGTATTGGTGGGAAATTTGAATAATCTTCCTCTCTTATTCTCATTTCGAAGTCATATGCTTGTCATATGATTAGATTATATTAAACACTTAAAAATTGCGTAACAAAAGGAAAACATTAACACTTGATTAAAAGTGAATGGGTTGGCTGTCGCGATTTCATGTGTAGGGATCAAAGTGAAATTTGGTGCAAAGTACAAGAGTGCAAAGTGTAATTTACCCTTTTATTAGGGTAAATAACAAATACATTCAAGCACATAACAAATGGCCCATTTCAGTAATCGACTATTAAGTCAAACTAATAGAGTATATGACATAAGCAATAAATTTTCAAAAATACCTATATTAACATTTATGAAGTAAAAAATTTTATTTTCTTTTTTCTTTTCCCTATTCCACCTTTATTCCCTGTTTTTTCAACTAATAACACTACTTTACATAACCATCGTATCACCATCTCTCACTCTCAATTAACACGATCATTATTATGTTCTACTACCATTTGGTGTAACATCAAAGAGGGTTGAAAGATATTGTGGTGGTGTAGAGAGAATGATTTGATAGTGGATGGTTGAAAATGAGAGTAGCATGATAATTTTATCTTGACATTAGAGAGTATTTGGGTAAAAAAAAAAATTTCCTATTAGTTCAGTTGTAGAAGAAATGATGACAATGAAATATTTACAATTTCTAGAACATGAAAAGAGAATTCGTATTTTTGACAAATCTTAAAAATATATTTATAATTTATCTTGTGTTATCTTTCTAACCATCAACATACCAACAATACTCATACACAAATCTCAAGCACAAAAATATTCCAAACAAATATCAATCTCACAATATATTAATTCAATCTAGACTATTTAACAAAATTTTGAGCATTTTGTGTGTGCTAGTTATGTGCGCATAAAGTAATGGCTTTCATTATATACACTGGTCACATTTGGTAACATCACTTGACAATGTCCCACAATTATAAAATAACTTTTAATTACAGTAATGACAATAAAGTATTTGGTGTAATTTATTGAGGCTATATATGATTGTCTTTTAAAAAAATTATAACAGAGTATTTGTGCCGTTTATTTTTACAATTTATGCCGTAAAACTCAAATTAAATCAAATTAAAAAATTGAGCTTTAATCTCGTCAAATGAGATTGGATATATAAATTTTTCTTATTCACTCCACTTTCTCAACGGCCATCTTGTAAGTCAAATTATGAAAGATTCATATTTCTATTTACTATATTTACCCACATGAATCTATGTCTGTTTCTTCTCCTAACACTTCCATTTACCGTTACCGTATCACATCTCTTCACTACTGCTTCGCTTGATTTCTGTTATATATAACCAAACTATCTCAATTTATTCTCTCTTAACTAATTTCTATCAGTGCTGCTCCTACCCATTCATAAATATATTATTTCATAATTTTGTCTTTTCTAATATTGCCACATATCCACCTTAGCATCCTTATCTTAGTAACGCTCATCTTATCTACATGTTGTTTCTTAGTTACCTAACATTTTGTCCGATACAATATCACTAGTCTAATAGTTGTTCAATAGAACTTTTCTTCTAATCTAGTAGGTACTCGTTTATGACACAGTACCCCAGACACACTCCTCCACTTAAGCTATCCTGCCTTAATTCTGTGGATCACGTACGCTCCAATCCCTCCAATCTTTGTGATAATCGATCATGAATAACGAAAATGTTTACTCTTAGATAGTTATTAGTTCTTAATTTTCACTTCTTCTCTGTTTTCATTGTTACTGTTATTAAATTTATGAGATAAAACTAATTTAAATAAATTTAAAACATGCTAATTTTTAAAAAGTTGAGAGATGAGTATTTTTAATTTTTGATTATCCACTCAAGCTCGCAAGAAGCTTCATCAAATGTGGGATGTGAATAGATGTGATAAACAAACTAAACAATTTGATCTTGAATCGTATTTGGCTCTTTGGAAGTTCGTTTGGTTCGGTTCGATAAGTCTAAAAATATATAAAAATATCAAATTATTTAAGCTCGACTTGACAAAAATTTATTTGAGATCGATATAAAAGTTTAATAAATCAAATTTAAATAAGGTTTGAAAACTCATTAAAATTTTCATATCACACTTGTAGAGTTAACTGTTCGGTTGTTTTGGATTGTTTATCACTCTTAGATGTGCATGACTTAAGGCCATATTTGATTATCAAACTAAATTGAAATTATAATTATAGTGAGATTTAGTGATACATTATATTATTTTAAAAAGAATAATTTTATAATACATACTCTATTTTCTATTTTGGAATATATATCATACTCAATTATAAGTTTTGTAATATTTAATTATTACCTATCATATAAGTTATCACATTTTTATGACATTTATAATAATAACAATATTATATATAATTTATTATTTTTAAATAATTTTTTTTTTAAATTAAAATTCGAGATAATAAAATATTTGATAAATTAAAATTTGCCAATGGTCAACCACAAGTATTTTATAGGAGCGATGACTGATGGTAAAACGTTTTATTATTATGACCCATTTTGGAAATAAGGGTTTTGTTCTTGTTCTTCATCAGATGTGCGATTTGGATCTCTATATTACTCCCATTCGAGTGATTTCAATTCCTGAGCTTGTTCCAGACTGCATTATGCACGCAACCGTACACTGCTCTACCCGATTCAATTTTCACATTTTTCTTCCCAATTTCAATTTCTTTGCAGAGCTAAGATGAAATTCGCCAAAAGAAATCTTTTTTCGGCTTTGATTTTGCTCATGTCCTCTTTGATTTAGCTGTCCTTCCCATGGCTTCAATGGAGTTCTAGAGAGAAAAGGTTTCAACCAAGCTGAAATGGCTAAATTGCTCCAGTTTCAATCATTAAATTGAAAGGAAAAAAAAAAAAAAAAAAACACTAGCTCCAACAATGAAAGTTTTTGAGATGGTTTTGAAAATTGCAATATCTACACATTGGTGAATTGCAGTTGGTGATTGTTATGTGTGCTGTCACTCCCATTGGTGAAAATTACATAAGGTGTGGTCTATTTACAACTTTGTTTCAGAAATGTTCTCATTATAATGCATTAGATTCACTTGTTTAAGCATTATTTCAATCACATTTTTCGGCCCGAGTACTATATATGTGCAAACATGATTCGTGTCACTTCTGATTCACTTCAATATAGATAGAATTTGGAGAATGCTTCACAACACTTCTCAGCTAAAATTGCCTGTCATAACAGGGAAAGATCTGTTAGGAAGACGAGCTATCTAGTCAAATATCACCTTTTTTTAGCATCTCCTTAGCCTTTTCATGAACAACAAGATTACAAACCCAGACTTATGAACCCATAATTTACCCAGAAAAATAAATAAATGGTTGAAATTCATTTTACTCATGGACTCCATACTTCATCAATTTAATCTCTACCACACAAACACATTGTTGACAAATTATAGGCAGATAAGTCTTGGTTCATCGCATTTTTCTTTCACAAAATGTAATGGGCAGAATCTACTTTATCTCTTGTAGTTTGGCCTCAAAGAACTTTACTTCCATATCTTTTAAAAATAGCCAATTAGGCCTCATATGATTTTGACCATTTTGCATTGTATTTTCTTATTGCTAATACTTCTATCCAAATTGACGGAATTTGTTCCATACACTCCTAAAACAAGAGTTTATTTGAAAAAAGTCCAATCAATGTCAAAATACAATGCAAAATGATAAATATACTTTCATCTTCATCTTTTTATTAAAACGTGTGGTGCAATGAAAGTTTACAGCTCACACTAATATGGCATGAACCTTGACCTCGCTCCACCAATAAGGCACTTCACACACACTTCACCAAGCGACGTGGGATAGGTACATAGACTTGCAACCTTCGCCACACTCCATCTTGGCCTTAAGCCACAGGAATCTTGGGTCTTATATTGGGTCCCCATGTGGGACCTACTCAAGGATGTCAAGCTCCTCAAGCTCATCCCCTGTGGGATTCATCAAAACACATCTCCATATGGTCCCAAGTACATCTCCCTATGGTCCTGCCCCATATTTTTGGTTGGTGCTAGCTCTGATACCATTTGTAATGCCTTGGACCCACGTTGTACAAATTGTCCACTTTGGGCTAGGCCTGCATGATTTCAAAATGCAGTGTACAATGAAGGTTCAAAGATCACACTAATAAGGCACTAACACACACTTCACCAAGCGATGTTTGGCTCATCTTATCCATTTTGGCCCCACGCCTCAGCAGTCTTGACTCTTTGATTGGGGCACCACGGTGACGCTCTACCTAATCTGTCAATATTGTTGAGGTCTTGCCCTTTGTACTATGCCAGAGCTTGAGCTAAGTTTGTGTTACCAAATTCCATAGGATCATTCATGAAGTGGATTATGAGCATAACTTCAACCTTGTTTTGATCCATTCTCTGATGGACATTCTTGGTAGAGCTCTGGATCGCATAGTGTTTGTTTACGATTTTTAAAAATTAATTCTACACTCACTTTTGAAAACACGGTCAAAGGCAAGAAAATTTGAGCTAACCAGTCGTCCCAGCGGACGTCCCACCAGTCGTCCGACCGGTTGACCGGAACAGTGCAATAATTTTTTTTATTTTTTCTTTGCAATTGACATGTTAATTTTTATATATTCAATAACAAATATTTTCCGAATTTTTAAAATTTTTTTTATGTGTTTTAATAGAATTTTGAGTTGTGCGTTTGATTATGAGTTGTAAGTTTTTGTATCAAATATCATATGTCACATCAAAAATTCTCCACTCTATTCAAAACTCATTCACCAAACAAATTTTCCACACTCAAATCATAATTCCAAAACTCACAAACTCAAAATACAACTCTATTATCAAATCATATTTAGAAAACTCTACCAAACGCAACCTAAGACTTTCCATGTTTCATTTGAAACCTTCATTCAGGGTCAGCAATTCTGCAATTACTCCAAAATTAAAGTCACTGTCTCTCAAAGCATACAGATGAGAACAATTTGGTGGGACTCCTGAAATGGATGCAAATATGATACCTGATTGTAGCCAAAAAAAAATTGGAAAATTATTTTTATTGTGGTCTCCACAACACCTTAGGTCACAGGCTTTTGCTTTGAATGGGAGGACTGCAGGCCACTGATCCTTTTTCTAAGAAACTTTTTAAGTACTTTTTTTTGTTTTTTATTTTTTTGTTCATGTGTGTGTTAATGACAGAAAATGACACACCATGGCAAACACGGTGCATCATTGATTGCGATATACAAACATCAAAACAGTCTGATGACTGAAGATTTACTAAAATCTTTCGCTGATGATATAAATTATCTTACTGGGGATTAGATGACATTGATAATAAATGTCAAGAGCATTGTCTCATGACTTGATATTTATTGTTGTGAATAACAAGCTGCTTACCAAATTACGGTCCCTTGATTTTCCATAATATAATATACTTGTTTGTTTAAAAACATCCCCAGGATTTGAGCAGTCAAGAAGCGAGAATTGAAATGGAAAGACATCCCTCCCTCTTTTTCCTTCCATGTTAATGAAGAACCTCTCCTTTTTTCTTTTTTCTTTTTTTTTAATACTGTTTTTCTTACTTTTCGTTATCTATCTATGCAAGTTATTTGTAGATCAATATTATCGGTCAATCAATATACTGGGATTTCAGAGATCACCTTGTTGGAAGCCTTGGCACTCAGATTGGAGCAACTCAGAGCTGTGTTATTTATAGCCAATTTCGACAACAAGTTATGGTGTTTTTTTTCCCTCTTAGATCATGATCTATGATTTGCATTATCATTTGTAGCACCCGGGGAAAATAATTGAACATATATTTGAGCAGCAGCAGTCAAATAAACAAGGTTATATCTGGGAAAGTCGAACACATGAAGGATTTCTTCCTTTGTCAGTTCTCTTTCAATACAAATTATGTTTATTAACATCTTTGAACAAATAAGTTAAAAGAGTAAAAATCATCAGAGGAAGCAAAAAACTTATTAAACATGTAAGTAAAAACCTCATTAAACATGTGAGTGTAAGCCTTATCATGCATAATGTTACTATTGCCTTCTTTTATTCCTACATTCACTGTTTTGCTTTACTTCATAATGTGCTTTACAACCTTCTTTTAGGGATCATCAAGAGCATCTCTCAGACTGAATGTTGATACCAAACGTGAGATATCAGGAGGAAGAATAGCCTCGCAGGTGTTTATCATCCTTGTCATTTTTCTGTCCAAAGCTGCATAATTGAAAATTGTTGGTGAGCTAACTAACAAATTTTTCCTTATACACCTTTTCAAATTAGATTTCAAGACTACCATTTGCTTTGACGAATATTTTTGTTGCTGATGATGACTTCCTTGGGTGCTTGTGTTTTGGATGGAACACCTGATTCTTCTTCAGTCAGCATACTTGATAAACTTTGGCAGAACTGGTCATCATGGTCTGATGGTCAATATAATTGGCTTATACAACACACATGTACATAAATGTATAGCTTATTACCTCTTTGTACGGCTCCAGGTCCCCTACAGATTTCGATATTTCTACAACACAATGTGTAGGTGCCACCTCAATTACCTGAATTTTTCCACTTACAATGGGTGAGAATCTGATATCATGCTTTTGAAGGGAAGGGTACATGACAATTATTTACCTCTGCTGATAGGTTCAGGCATGACCTTGAACATCTAGTCATCTTCTGTTTTGGATGAATTTTCATCTGATATTGTCAAGAAGTGTTAAAATTTCAGAGCAGGAACGTGGGATATTATCCCGATTGAAAAAAAAAAAAAAATTAAATCTAATATTGATTGATCTAGATTATACCTTAGATTTGTTCATCCTTTCAACTGAGAGACTCACATCCTTTGCAGCAGCCTCAATCTTTTGTATGGTTTCATTGATTGTATGCTTGGATCCTAGCGTTGTTTTCTGCTTTTCATTATCCTAAAATTGGGACAAAGGTTCACTGGATTTTAGAATGGAAAAAAGAAAAAGAAAAAAAAAAGAAGCATTTATAATTATTGAACCTGGGTTCAAGATATGTACAACATGCCTTTTCTTGAAATAGTCCTGACAAATCAAGGTCATGTGACATGGCTATTAGCTGGAAAGCATTTATGAAACTTGGAGTATGGGGTATATTTGTCTCAGTCACATTTTCCTGCAAAAGAGATGGTCTATTTAGTTGACATTATGAAACTCTCTATGTTGCCACTTTGTTTAGTCATTACCTTATCTGAATTGAAAGCTGCATGAACATCATCCAAGTCTATATCTTCATCACATTCAATTCGCACAGCAGGTTTGTAATTTGTTTGAAACCATTGATGGTCAATAATCTCGGGTGTTGTTATTCGCTGCAGTGACAAAACAAGAAATTGTTCTACTTATTCATTTTAATTCCACTATTTGTTCTGTTCTATATGTGATGGTGTAGAGCACTACCTTTTGGGGATTTGGTTCAAGTATCCTGGAGATCAGTTTCTTTTGGCTTTCTGTAAACCACTCTGGAAATGTGTATTCTGCTCTTGATATCTTTGCAATGACATATTACGGGGTATCAGATATCAAAATTTTCTGATTTTTGAAACTTGGGTGTTTTGTAATTTAGATTGGAAGCGTACCTTTCTATACAAGTTCATCAGGCTACGCTCATCAAATGGCAGATAGCCAGCGAGTAATTCATAAAGGATTACTCCGCAGGACCAAACATCTGCTGCTGCTCCCTCATAGCCCCTATTCGCAAGCAGCTGTTCACCAAATAATGAAGCATCAGCCATGGGATTGAAGCCAAGTAAGGCATGTTCTGTACATCATAAAAGGGCTTAGTCTTCTTTCCTATGAAGCATAGATACGGATAATGGATACGGATACAATATAATATGGATATGACAATACGGCAAAAAAAGAAAAAGAAAAAAATGATATGGGTATGGTTAGGTAACATTGATTTTTTTTTATTTTTTTTTAACTTTTATTGTTTTATTTTTCATGAGTTCAAAGAATAGTAAGAAACCGTTCTTTAAGAATTAGATATTAATTTAGTAGCCAATAATCAATTTACTTGTTTTGTTTTTTTGGAGATAAAATCTGAAATGTTGAGTGCTATTTTTATCTCACTATTTTCATCCATAAGAAATAAGAAACTATTGAAAAATTGTTCTGGTATTTATTCTAACAATTATACTTTAATGATATGCAAAAACTATTACAATTTTAATTTCATAGTAGTTTGGATACCTGACCTACAATGTTCGAAAAGTATTTGATATTTCTCAAAAGTAAAATCTAATATCGGGTATATTTAGGAAGTATTAGATACATATCAATGTTAGCTTCTTTCATTTCTGTTTCCAACCTAGTTTGCCCTGCATCCTTTTGCTTGCAAATAAAAAGTTGATGAAGGGGGGGAAGAGTCTTATATAGTATTCCGGCAAGAAAATTGTTTCTTACCTCTGGTGCTACGTAGCTTGGAGAGCCACATACAGTAGATAGCAGGTCTCCAGGCTGCGAAAATACCAATTATTAGCAAGAAAACCCCTGGAGGACAGAAAATTAATTTTGCTACCTTTCTCAACGCGCTGAGTCCGAAATCAGATACTTTGAGATTTCCTTGGCTATCCAAAAGCAAGTTCTGTGGCTGTATATGAAATTCCATGTCAATTTCCATTCTCTCCCTTGCGGAGATTTGTGAAACAACATGATAATATGATAAGGAAGATGGTTTCATTCTGACCTTTAGATCTCTGTGGTAAACACCTCTGCAATGGCAATAATCTACTGCGTCGATTAACTGCTGAAAGTGTTTCCTTGCGTCTCTTTCATTCAACCTATTAATGTAGGACTAGAAACGAAAAGTTCAATGCAAATTAGAATTCTCTGTTTGATCTCAAAAACTAGATTTCGATTCCATAGTCTGCTATTTGCAACTCACCATCTTGTCGGATAACTGCCCTCCCGATACATATTCCATTACTATGTAAATTTTTGTCCTTGTCCCAATTACCTGTGATTGGAAATCAATGCCCAATTCAAGTAAATTCCATAGGAGAGTCGAAGTTTAAATTTTTAGGACAAACAACATACCTCATGTATCCTAACAATGTTTGGGTGATGTAGAAGTTTCATTGTTCTGATTTCACTCTGTACCTGAAAAACAGAGCTCCATGTATTAGAATGAAAAACAAACATAGAGAACACAAAGAAAAAAAGAAATGGGTTGGGAGTTATTCACCTGGTATGTTAGATTGTTTTCCATGACCATATGCTTGTTGATGATCTTGATTGCCACATACTGACTATTGTCTGTGTTTATTGCCAACTTAACCTTGGCGAAAGTACCTTCTCCGATTGTTCGTCCGATTTGATACTTTCCAATGGTGCTTGCATATCCCATGCTGTTATCTTCTTCTTCTTGAACTACTACACACCTTGTAAATGTTCTTTATATCCACTTCGTTCTAAATTGGTGATGAAATTGGAAGCAATCCACTTCTCTTTCGTCGATGTTTCTTCCTGGTTCTTGATGGATTCAAGTGCCATCTTTATGAATCTCAAGTCTTAAAAAGTGAGAGCTTATCAGAGTCACAGTTTGTTGTGAATATATTTTATTTTATTTTATTTTATTTGAGAGGTTTGAAAAGGTCTATCTGTTTTTTGTGTTTGCATGTGTGTTGAAAGAGAGGGGAGGATGACTTGCTGGCTAGTTGGTGAGTGAGGGGGAGAGAGAGGAGTGGAGGGGCGTGTGGTTTGAATGGAAGGTAGTGGATCCTCTAACAACCATGATGATCTACTCTCTCTGGTTTGGTCACACTCTGTTGTTTGAATTCTTTCCAACAACCCTATATCAAAACCCCAATGAAGCGGATTTAGTTTTGATTATCAATTTTGGAAGATAATTTTTTACAAGGGTTTGTAAAATTTGAAAACTTATTTGGTTGTATATTTTGAAAATAGCTTTAGGATGATTTCTAATTTTTTTGTAGTTGAATAGATAGGTGCGAGAGAAAAATTGATTGATTAATGTATAAGATGTAAGAAAATAAGAGAGGGGAGAGAAAAAAATTAATTGATTGATTGATGTGTAAAATGTGAGAGGAGAGAGAGAGAGAGAGAAAACGAGTTTGAAAACAATTTTTCAAAAATTGTAAACCAAACAAGTTTTTTTTTGAATTTTTCATTTCATAAATTGATTTGAAAATGTAATCGAACAATTTCTTTTTTTTTTTTTCTTTTTTTGAGCAATGTTGTACATAATTTCATTTCTTAGTTCATTTTTCTCACCTCTAGGCGCAAAACAATATAGATTGCGGTAATAAGTATACATGAGACCGACTCACTTGAAAGTTTGAAAAAGAGATAAGATATAAGATTATTTTCTTTTGGTATATTCTACTTAATATGTATCATTTTCTTTTGGTATGTTCTACTTAATACCGCATTTAGATCATGAATTTGAGTATGAATTAAAAAGGAAAAGGAAAAAAATTGAGGAAATGTAATTATATTTTATTCATATTTTACTTAATTTTTTTATTTTTCTTTTTTATATCACTATCAAAATTCACGATTCATACCTAAATCTATAATTCAAACATAGCCTAGGAAAACTAAAAAATAAGAATACTTGAGCGAAAATATCTACGGTTACATGAAAGTGGTTTTTATGTATGGTACCTAAAAAAATGGAAATATTTGGCCCAAAGTCCCTCACTAGTTTCTTTTAAAGTAAAAAGAATACTCCAAACTTTTTTAATTTGCAAGTCCCTGAAGAAGAGGCGTCTCTTTCATTAAGGATAAACAAGTTTGATTATACTTTTTTTTTTTTTATATAGACAATCTTATCCTTAGCAATTTGTTTTATATTTTAAATTTCAAAATGACATAACTTCTGATTTATATATTAATTTTTAATAAAATTAGTAGTTTTAGAATCCTTTTGTGAAGATCTATTAAACAAAATCAATGTTGACTATGATTTTTTTTTAAAAAATTGTTATTTTTTTTCCCTATTGAAATTAACATCAACAGTAAAATTTTACTCTAATTATCAGAGTAAAAATTGATTATGAAATATAGTTTACAGTAAAATTTTATTGGGAAGCAAAGTGAAATTTTCTTGTTTACGTCAATTGCGACAGTAGTTTTTTATTTTTTTTTATTATTTTAAAGAATTCGTAGTCAATTTGGATCTTGATAGATCTTGAAGAGAGAATTATAAAAATACTAATTTTATTAAAAACAAACATCTACATAAAAAGGTATATCATTTTAAAATTTAAAATATTAAATTACTCGCTACAAATATTTTGATAATAGCAGTGTATGCTATATTTTATAAGAATTATTTTTTTTATTTATCCTTAATGTATTAAAATTTCATTATGAGGGGCTCTTTGAACAAATCTCAAAAAAAAAAAAAAAAAAAAAAAAGAATTTTTAACCATTAGATGAGTAATGATTAAAGCTATGTAAAAAAATCTAGGTGATTTTTCAAAAAAAAAAGGCAGTTTAGGGTTTTAGTTCATTTTGAAATAAAATAATATTGTCCAACTTACTACTTATAAACAAGTTAAAATTTGTAGTTTTTTAACCATTAATGGCAATTAATAAAAACAAAATTAACTACATGAAAAAAAACTTGCCATTCTTTCCAATTCTACTTACCATTCAATATGATCTCATTTAATAATAATTGAAATGTATGATTGAGTAGTAAATAGAGTATTTATTTATTTATTTATTTTTTCACATGATAAGTCGAATATGATTGAATCGTAACTAAAATATCATTAAGTACTTAGTATTCATAAACACAAAATCTAATTACATAGTAAGGGATTGTTTGAGATGATCTAAATAAGTGTACTTTTTGTCTTTTTACGAAAAGATGTGTAAAAAAATAAAGAGGTGATGTGATGAAAAAAAGATAAAAAGATGAATTATTTTTAAGTTGTTAAACTTGACCTATGTAAAGTTTAATTTTTAGTAAGTAGAAGATTAGTTCTTACTATTCATAAACACTACTTATCATCTGTTCTGATTCCACTCACTACTCATGTAAATCTAATTACCAATTAGTATTTTATCATTTTTTACATTTTTTATGTACTTATCAATAGTCTACTTATTGTTTGTTTTCAAGTTATCTACCATTCCGTGATAAGACAATTTTTATAGTCACAAACCAGTTCTCATTCTTAAACTAGTTATCATTTTTTCTAAGGCCAAGTTTGAAAAGATTAAAAAAATGTATTTTTTATCTTTTTAGATAAAAAAATTGAGGTTAAAAATATGGATGTTTGGGTTAATTTTTTGACTTTTTATTGAAAAATGTGTAATAAAAAATTGTAAAAATTAATTTGTAAGGAAAAATTTGAATTGGGAATTGTGCAGCCATAATTGTTGACTTTTGATGAATACTATTAATTTTTTAACTTTTTAAGTAACTTTTTGACTTTTTTAAAAGTACCCAAACTTGACCTAAATCTACTTACCTTTTGTTATGAACCTACATAGGGTCTCTATTTACACACCACCATTTCACTTGTTCCATACCATTTTTCAAATTTTTTTTTTCCCTCATTTTGTCCTAAAAAGTTACCAAAAAGGACACCACAATTCTCATTTTTCAATTTTTTTTTTTTTTTTTTCACCCACCGCCAACCCTCGCAGCTCCCATCCCGGTTACCTCCCCTAGCCATCTTCTTCCGCAGGTTCCTCCACTCCCCGCTCCTCTCATTTTCCAAAAACCACCGGCCACCACCATCGTCTCCTCCGTGAGCCCTTCTGCCTTGGCCACCCACTCCCCAACTTCATCTCACCGCGTCTGCCCGGTGCCCCCTTTACAGCGCCGTCGCAGACCGAGATGAATAGAATAGATCGCGATCGCGATCGTGATTGTGAGAGAGAGAGAGGGAGAGAGAGAGAGAGACAGCCACCTCATTCCCCCAAAACATCCAACCACCACCGCCGCCGTCACCTCCGCAGCCCGACAAAGAGAGTAGATCGCGATATTGCGATCACAATTGAGAGAGAGTGAGAAATCGTAGGTGTGTGTGTGTGTGTGTGTGTGTGAGAGAGAGAGAGAGAGAGAGAGAGAGATCTACGTAGGTGGGTGGTAAAGAGAGGTGACGGCTAAGGGAGAAGGCTCTGGCACCGACAGTGGAAATGGTTGGGATTAAGGTTATGGTTAGTCAAAAATGATGAAGATAAGGTTATTCGAGGAATTTAATGGTGTGAATTGAGAAATGGCGTGGGATGCGATAATTGGTGGCGGATAAATAGAGGTAAATAGAGGAGACGATGGTGGCGGATTCAAATCTTTTTAAAAAATCTAACAAATCCAAAAAAATTATTTAATAATTTGATAGGGTAATAAATGGGTTTTGATTAAGTAGTAAGTCATATTTAATTTGAATCATATTTAATTTGAATAGTAAGTCAAATCTGATTGAATAATAAGGTGGTGTTTGATAAAATTGAAAATAGAAATTAAGCGTTGAAAATTGAATGCTAAATTCTTTAAGCTGAAAAATTATTTAATAAAAATTTAATTGCTAAATTGAAACAAGTTTTTTTATTTTTATTTATTTATTTATTTATTTTTATATGTGTAAAATCAAATTTGAAATTTATTATTTTAAAATTATGTCTTTCAATTTTTGTATTTTTGATGGTGAGTCGGTGGTGGTGAAGGAGGTGACAACGTTAACTATGGCATTGATGACAATGGTGGTGAAGATAGATGGATGGTGGTGGTGGTGGTGTAAGGGTAATGTCGTAGAGATAAAAAAAAAAAAAAAGAGGTAACAACCATGGTGTAACATCAAGTGGATGATCAAACAATAACTTTGACTAAAGAGTATAAGAAAATAAAACCCCCACTGTTCCATGGAGGAGTTGACCCTTTGAAAGCCAAGGCATAGATTCTTAGAATTGAGAAATTATTTGAAGTCTTCTCGTGCACTGAAGCACAAAAAGTTATGTTAGCTGCACTTACATTGGAAGATGATGGATGTTGATCCGAGAAGAAAACAAAAATATTAACTGGGCTCAATTCTTAGAGATATTTATGAAAAATACTTTCCGCAATGTGTCTGAGATCAGAAAGTTTCTGAATTTGAAGGGCTAAGGCAAGGCAACTGAACGATGGCCAAATATGAATCTCAGTTTACCGAACTAGCAAGATTTGTGCCCCATATGGTTGATATAGATTATAAGAAAGTAAGAAAATTCGAAGGACTCCAAAAATCAATCCAAGAAAAAGTTAATGTGTTGAAACTAACAAAATATGTTGATGTGCTAGACCGAGCATTGATGTCTGAAGCTAACACGAACCAATCTTCTGAATGAAAAAAAAAGAGACAAAGCACTAATGAGAATATAGAAGTTTTGAAGAATAATAAATCGAAGTCAGAAATGTCTATTCAAGATGAACTCTCTCAAGAAAACATTTTCGCACATACTTGCTCAGAATGTGCGAAAAAGCATCGAGGAATTTGTTTTTGAATTTTTGGAGCTTGTTATAGATGTGGTAAGATGGGCCATACAGTAAGAAATTGTCCTTAGACTGGACAAAATGTGAATAGACCTACCGCTAGCTCAGCTAGTTCAGTGCCAATGATGAGACCTTCTATGATAAGGGAAAATG